AGGAATCTGCTCTCTCAAAGTAACACACACACATACAACCTTCACCAAAATAATTCTATTTCTAACTGTACCAGTTTCCTATCAGGGACCAGCATGGCAACAGCTCTGGTACTTGAATAAAGTTTTCATACTCGGGTGAGTGGAAGATGCACATAGAAGAGAGAAAATTCAGAGACCTGGTGAGTACAACGTATGAACAGTGTGGGAGTGCTAAGTAACTGCAGCATGGGTAACTGGCACCTAAATAAAACGTGCCTTAGTGGTTTAAAGTGTTTAATGTGCTGAGGAGCAGTATGAAGATTCACAGTGCATTAGAAATAATGGTGGCAAGAACAGAATATGTACATCAACATTAGAGCAGGTGGTCTTGTGAATGTCTTAAGTGGCATGTCATGGTTAAGCAGCATGTTGAGCTTTAGAGCAACTTCAGGAAACGTATTTTAAGCTGGCAATTTACAGTTAGCAATAAGTAGCTCAATTTCTTTCCATATCATAAAGAAGAATGAGAAATTAATCCATTAATTTACCTTCCCACAAGGAGAAACTACTGGTACTGAAGGTTTGTTTTTTTTTTTTTTCTGAACAAAAGCCAGCTGCAGGTCAAATTAAATCAGAATGATTTATTAGTAGTATTCTTGTTACAAAGTTATTAGTAATATCGTATAGTGCTGTATAATTAAGATCTTAAGACCTACCAGGAAAGCAGTTCATTGATTGTTTTCAAATTAAGGCTGTACATTTTTCTAGCAGATATGCTAATGTTGAAATAACTCATAACCAATTTTTGTTCTACAAATGGTTAAAATAGATGTCCAACAATAAGGCATGGGAATCAAACTAACTGTTCCTTGAGTAGAGCAGCTTAAGCAAAGCTACATTTAGAACAATGCCAGGTCAGATCCAGAGATCCCGCTGAAGCAGAGGTTCAGGCAGAAGCAGTGAAATGCAGAGGAAGAGCAATTAGTCAGGGCTCAAGAACACGAGTGCTTCTGGAAATTTTTTGCAGAATAAATAAGGGTCTTAGGAAGAAATGTGAATTGGAAGAACCCTCTCTCTGAAGCTTAAAGATGCAGATTGTAATGGAAGAGTATCAAACACAGAAAGGGATAAGGAAAACACAGAAAAAGCATGAGCTGACAGTATATACTGGCATTGTGGGAGATAAGGCCCTAGAATTGGAATTTATTCTGAGAACATTTCCCTTCTTTACCTGTTTTGCTTTGTGATTGAAAGCTGTTTAGTTAGAATAGACCTTCCTAGGGGAAGCAGCTCTATTTTGTTATATCCAGCTCTTGAAACTCACTTTACCATTTTCATATTAGCCTATATAAAGGCAGAGAAATAAAATAAAAAGCTCTTCTAAGGCAGGGGGATGAGGGAGATAAGAGAGAAAAGATGAGTTCTGCCTGTTTATTTTTCAAATTCCTGGTGGGAACACACAGTTCTTTTTCAAATGTTGAGAGTAGGGATCTTAAAGACACTGCAGTTAAGAGGAATGGAAGCTGTGGGCTGATTTCAGATCCTGAGCTGCATTGTGAGAGAGTGATCACAAGCAGGTCTATGCATCCTGGATAGACAAGGGATAAGTTTGGGAAAACACTGAAGTTGACAATCAGAAGATAAGATTACTTACAGTAACCAGAGCCTGTAAGATGCATTGTCCACAGGTGCTTCCATGCTATGCTTCACTCACATGCCGTGTAGTTTCACACTCCTTTTCCACCAAAGCAATACTTACAAGATACGCTTGATGCAAGAGTAAGTCACTAGTGCATGTCATACAGCTCAACCAATACCTCCTAACTGTAGAAGCTCAGAGAGCTATCAAAGGGCTATCAGAAATGAGGAAGGAGAGGGAAGTCATATGTACATAGGAGCAATAATTTTTAAGAATATCCACGCCTGGTAACTTCTTTCATCTTACTTGTATTGCAGATAAATTCAAGTTACTGCTTGACATCGAACTCCTCCAATTCTGATTCCACGTCCTTAGCTTCTACAAGAGGCTGTCTCAATCTTTCAGAGGAACAACAAATGGATTACAACCTTTGATGTATTAAGTACCTAATTTTTCTCATATTGATGTTGCCTGGTTCAGTTGCCTCAGAGTAGAGTTTATAAATAGAGAAAAGATTAAGTGTTGAAAAATTAACCCTTGCAGATAGTTATATTTTTAATCACCATCAAGAAAAGGAAGGAGTTGGGTTGAAAAGAAGTCTTCAGACCAGGGACATTATTTCTTCCTCTTCACTTGAGAGTGAGAGAAAAAGACGAATGTGTCCTGTGTAACTTTTGAGGGCTCTGTGAAACTGTTCAATGACAGTGCTGAGTATGCCCTTGCATGGTTGAGCACACACCAAGCTTCAGTATTGTGAATGCAGTCCAAATTCACCTGGGCGGGCCAACAGCCATATAATCCTGAATTCCTGCTTCCACTTGTCTGTAGTTCCAAGGACATTGCCTAAAAGACAACCAGAGCTTAAAGCCAATATTAAAAAACTGTGCCTGCCCACTAACTTGTGCAGCTCCATTTAGTAATGGCAAGACTGCATTCAGTAAAACAAATGCCATGACTGCAGTGAACTAAGTTTCAAGATATGCAACTGAAGTTTTTATTTTCCCTCTGTTCAAAAATTTCTGATTTATGTCTCCTGTAATCTGCTTACATTCCAGGTAACATCAGCTGCCCCTTAAAATTTGTAACCAGAAAATAGTGTGATAAAAACTACTGATTGTACATCTTAAAGCAATTTTATAATCACTTTGGCTGGCTACTTTTGCTATAAGCTCTATATGAAGTATGACAGAACTACTGGTGGACACTGGAGGGTGAGTGTTTATACTGACCCTTCACACAAACCCTGTTAAGAGAGAATCCTAATACACGCCCTTGAGACACCCTAACCGTACACGTATAAACATATATGTGACAGGCCCAGATTAGCTGTCACTACTCAGGAAAGATAGTACAGTTATCACTACGGGAAATCTCAATGCTTAGCATTAGTAAGAAATGCAGCAACAGGAACGTTTCAGAAATTAATAACGAGAAACACGTGATGAACAAACTTTAAAACCCTGCACATAGCTTGAACCATCTCACCTCAAAAATGGGATAGCTGAACAAAAAGGAGGCACAAGAAAGTCAACAAGAACAAAGAGAGGCACTGAGCTGGGTCTGTGCAAAGATTCTACAGTCCAAAACTTCATCTCGGAAGACAGATGCATTGGGGGAGTGAAATGGCACAAAAAAGAACTATGAAGCTATGAAAACGGTCAAAGGGGTACACAGAGGACAACATTTCTTGGGGAAAAAAGGCTCTGGAGCCCAGTTAAATTACTAAACTAACAAAGGTACATACTTTCAAACAAAGCATAATTAAAACTTGCAACTCTTGTCAAAGGATGTAGTAGAAGCTCTAAATACAATTATTTCCGGCATCAACATGACAGACTTGCAGTGAGCTTCACAGTCTAATTACAAGTACCATAAAATATCCCTGACCGTGTAAGGCTACAGCAGAGAGAAGCTAAGCATGTTTGAAAGAAAACAAAACCAAAACAAACCCCTGCAGTTGTCTGGGTTTTATATATACGAATACATAAAATGTAATACATAATACATGTAATGTATAATATATACATCCATGAATACATTAATGTTCTATATTATCTATATATATACACATCTGATTTGTATCAATAAACACCTATATGTTTGCAGATACACAATACATGAGAATTCTATTTCAGAAATTCTGAAATTGCTGTACAGTAACAGCTAAATTTTAATTAGTTGAACAGAATTCTGACAGCTGACAATTACAGCTTTTAATGAACTGAAGACCTCTTGGTGGAAAACAAGCAAGAACTGGTAAGTGGATTCCGAATTTACATAAATGCAAGTTTGTGTCCCATATAAAAGAATGCCTACTTGGAAAAACTTGCCAAAAGTGGTAGTCTTCACCTCCTGGTGCATACAATCCAGATAAAGGAAGAAAGTTTCCAAATGTAAGTTACTGGAACTGATTTGCCAGATCAAATTACGAATTCTTCTGTCCTCATCTGGTCTGAAATCTGGATTGCTACATCTTTCTTAATCTGTAATTTTTGTGCAAATCATTCCTCTGATTTTGCCTGAATATTGCTTTAGGTTGATTGTACTCTATGACTAATAAAAGAAGAAATTCAAGAGACACAAATGATAGACTCAAACCAAACAAAGGTTCAGCATGAGATACAGAACTTACTCTTAGTGTAGATCACTGCATTGGAAATGGCCAAAGCTACTGCATTACACATAGCCAGGTCTTTGTCTTTTTGATCTTTACCTCATTGCTGATATACATACAAACACAAAGGAGGAAAACATCTCAGCTATAATTAACTATTTAGAATGGGTTATATGCACCAAATACAACAAAAGCGCACAAGAAGTTCTGCACAACAGGAATATGGTGAAGTTGTATGGTTCATGGGTCTGGGATAATCCTTTCGATCTGTAGCAGACTGAATCAGCCCACATTCACAGGATAGCTGCAAGGGTATGAAGGCAACAAAAGCCCAGGAGGGAACTACTCGCACCCAGTAACCAACCTAGGAAGCTGCCGGCATGCCACACGCGAGTGAACTGAACTGCTGCTGCCACCACAACCTTCAAGTTCAGAAACCAGAGTTTACCACTCTATCCGTATCTCCAGTGGAGAGGGCAGCTCAGAACCCCAACCTGTTAGGAACACAGTGAGAGGTTTGGAGCACAGCACAAGAGATGTGGTTTATGACAGGATAGATCCTCTACCCAAACTATCTCTGAGAAGCAAGAATCTGCAGGTAGCTTGGTATGCTCCCAGCACATACTTGGGACACCAGGCCTAAAACACCCAAGCCTTCTGGTCAGACACAGGGCAAGAAATTAACCGGTAGCCCACCCTAGAGACAGAAGCTGAGATAAACTCGAAGTGGGAAGATCAGTGTACAAATCTGAAAGAAACCGCTCAGGCTGTTACAGTAAATGACTTTTATTTTTAAAAAAATGAAATAACCGTGAACATATTAACAGGCCTGCAGGTGGCACTACAGTACAGCTGGATATAAGGTAGATACATTTCCCCATGTACCCGGACAATGAAATCCATTGCATCAATGCTGACATTAGTAAATTCTGAATACAGTTCTATCAAGCAGGAACATTTTACTTAAAATAGTTCTGGACAAAATTGACACTGAAATTTAACTTCTCCTTCACTTTGGAAAGGATAGATGTTTTCAGCTAGCACTGGTATTGGGTGAACTATTACCTGCAGTCACCAGTGCAGGGAGAGATGTACAACATCTCCACATGAGAACAGAGTTTATACTCCTTTTTACTTCTGAGGAAACAGGGTGGCATAGGAAGAGGGAGGAAAATGGGTGAGGAATATGGGCAAGGGAGGTGGGGTGTCAATTTCTATTCACTCTCCTTTGGCTGTTTTTGTGCTATTTTGGACTGCTTTCTAAAAATCACTTCTTGATTTTATTGAAAGGAAGACTATATGTAATGCGCCTTTCCTTGAAAATCCAGGAACAGTTGTGGTACTTCAAAAATACTAAAAATATCTACTTTCATGAAATATTAACTGTTTCACTACAAACCTAGTTTTTCACTAAATACACAATTCTCCTATTTCTGGAGTCTCCTGGGGAAAAAAAAGTGGGTTCTCCCTTTATTTCTGCAACTCTACAGTGTATAGAGAAACAGCTACAAGAAGGGGAGTGCAGAGAATAGCTTTCTTCTTTTCCTTGGCCAGTATCTCGCATGGGAAGTTTGCTTAAATTTCTGAGTTGGGCTGCTGTTGGTCACACTCCTTCAGCAGCTATCAACTAAGTCTGCAGCAGGACAACCCACCTCCAGCACATTCCTTCTAACTTCATGGAGACTAACTAGGCATGAGGAAAAAAAAAACATCCACACTCTTTATACCATTTCTAATCATAATATGCAGGAACACCAAGTGGTTTCCATGTTCTTCCAATTTGCAAAAGGCCACGGGAAAGGGACATGGCACCTTTCGTTAGAATCTGGGATTCTGCATGTAACAGTGCGACCTTCCATTAGACCTTCAGTGTTGAGGCAGCGTAGAAAACAGTGGCTGAAGAGTGTGTGTAATACTGACCACACCAGCTCTTAGTGAGAAGCCCCTGCTCCTGCAGAGGCAGTCATGTGCAATCCCTGTACATAATGTGAGCAAAAGGCTTACGTCACAGGGCATTTGGAATTAGCAATTCCTATGATCTAGCTAGTTTGGATTCATGAGCCTTCAGTGTGCCAACAGCATCTTTCACTGCATGGTAGATAATGTTCTTCACCTGTAACAGGGAAAAAAAAAATCAACTTCTACAGACTAACAAGGAGAGTTTTACATATCTATGCAATCAACTTTGACAACTGAATTCGTAATAGTTGGCAAGTATACACAAAGTATATACTATCACTGCTTCAGGATATCAACAGCACAAGTTTTACCTGTCACGGTTAGATGACAAATATTTTAGACCTGCACTGATTTACTAACTGATTTTCTAGTCATCTAGCAACATATATTTACTTATGTTATTTTAAGATAAAGTCTCTTTTTCGTGAGAGCTAGGAGGAAACACATGATGAAGTCACACATATAAGTTTATTTTCAAAAAGTCCTTGTGATCCAAGTCACTTACAGATTCACATAAATCAAACCCAAAAGTATCAAGAAAATCATATGGTTTAACCCTACGTAAACAAAGATGATGGAACAAATCCTGTTGTCTTTGTATGGACGCTAGAAATTCTTCTAATTTGTGCATCTTCCAGAAAGGCAAGCAAGATCAGAGATGAAAAATTCACTAGTGCTCACGGCAATCTGTTCTACGCTTAGCTATTTAACAATCAAAGCTCTACCTTGTTTCTGATTTTCCTGATCTAAGTTTATTTGAATTCAGTTTCTAGGTATTGAATGGAACAGTTTCACCTCTAAGTAAATAGCTTAATATGCACTTGCTCAACTGACAAGTACCATCATTTTTTCCTGATGTACATATGATCTCAATCTTTTATACCATTTATGCAACAGTTATTGTCTATATAAAAAATACAGATGTTATATAAAAATACTATAAAAATATACATGAAAAATAACAAAGAAAAACAATAAAGTTTGGCTGCAAGGCACAAATACAACCAGTATTTCTTTTCACAGGAGTACTGAGTTCCACTTTGCCAGCAGTTACATTTTTCTTTTTTTAACTTTTTCTTTTTTTTTTTTTAAATAGCAAGCATTATTCATTTACAACCTATTAATTTACAGAAACATTTCCACATCTGTACCATTACAGGTGAAGAGGTAAAGTGTTAGAATCTGGATCCCCACAATGAGAGTTGATCCTACTTCTGCTTCTCTGTAAAATCCTATGCAAATCCATACAGAAACTTATAGCAAATTTTCACTGAGTTGTTTGAGAGAATTACCATGGTACATTCTGACATTCTTGGGTTACATACTGGAGAATGGCTATATACAGAGTACTCACTTTTACAAGAACAGCCATTCTGCAGATCTCCACCCTCCTTCATTTTACATGCATGAGATTACTAATACAGAAAAAATGCTGATGACAAAATTTGCAAACTAAACAGATACTACTAACTCTTCAGAAGCATACATAGGTGAAATCAAAGAGGGTTTCCTATGGTCTTCTCTGTGTAGAACTTACTGTCTTACACACAATGTACTGCTACAGTGCGTAATATGTTCTGTGCATAGTTACTAGTTTAAGCAGTCACATTTCTTCAAACCAAAAACACGTTTAATTTTCCTCTTTGGGACTAATTTAGAATCATAGAATCACTTAGGTTAGAAAAGATCTTTAAGATCATCGAGTCCAACTGTAAACCTAAGACTGCCAAATCCACCACTAAACCACATCCCTGATCTAAATAAGCAAGCCTTCACTTTCAGAGCAATTTTCCTTGAGGTAATAAAGAAACAAATACAAGTGTCCTTGGTCAAATAAACATATCTCTTCAAAACAAACCATTGCTTTTTCCTTTTGAATAGGTGGGTTTGGTTGGGTTTTTTTTCTCCTGCTACCCTTCACTCTCATGCAGGATACAGCCATTTTAGAACGATACCGACACATGCACTAGTTCAATAGTGGCAAAGTTGTCTGGAAATCCAAAAGTTTATTACTAATTTTTGTTTACATAATACTGTAGACATAGGTGCCTTAATTATTTTTTTAATACTTATCAAATGAGAACCTCCAAAGTTGTGGGAAGTTATTATTTTTTTCTTAAATCATTAGCCACACGTATCTAGTACTGAACAAAACCGGCAAAACACAGGATGTATTTAATGATTACTGTCATAAAATGGTTACCTGCAGTTTATCCTCATGGTTTGTATGAGTATTAGACAGGTGCCTGAACTCCTGGGTCAAACGGAAGCAGTGCTTCACATGTTCTGGAGATACAAAATCTTCTGCCACTTTAATGCAGCTGTACAAATTATGGACCTAAAAAACCGCAGATCAAATGATAGATATGTCAAGATTGAGTGAACCATACAAAACCCAAAAAACCTCACCCACCCCCACATATGTAGGTTCTTCCACATTTACTTAGCAGAAACAGGAACTGAAGCCTATTTCATCTCACACAGAATTGTGTCTAATGGTAAAAACAGAACAAAATACATGACATCTCACATGTTCCCAATTCTCCCGCATACACTAGTGTTCCCTAATGCAAGTTCTCTACTGTTGTCCACACTTTTTTGGAGTTCTGTTCCCTCCATTGAAGTTTCACTAAACAGAAATGTTTTCTGACCATTCACCCTAAATTTTTTTTCTTCACAGTACTGTACACATCATTCGGGATTTATATAATTTTTACTAACATAATAACTAAGATCCAATTCAAAGGGTTCCTGTAAGAACTGCATACACAGAAAAAGCAACCTAAGTCAGCAATATTAACTAACAGTTATTTTGAAGTCGCAGTTCTGTTGAGCCTCAAATTCAATTCTATTTGTCAATATGGCCTAGAGTTGGCATACTTACCTGATGGGGAGCACCTGCAGGAATGAACACAGCATCTCCAAGGAACTGCACTATCGCCCAGCCTTGTACACCATACTCATCATAGAGTCGCTTACGTAAGGTCTGGTCCAAGTACCAACTTTGGTCGTGAATGGGGTCATGATCTGGGGGATTTTCTTGGCCTTGTTCTTCTCCAACCTAGGGCCAAGATATGGGGTGGGGGGGAAAACCATGACACAGCACCTTGATATTGCTGGCTCACAAAAAGCTCTGTACCAAAAAACATAACAAACAAACTATTTCAAGGTAGGACATTACTTTCATTAAACTCATTTAGGTCTTAACTAGTGACATGTGCATTAGTGTGAAGATTCTAGAGCAGGCTGAAAACCTGGGAACATAATAACTATTAATGTCCTCAAAGACACCATTAGAACACCTATGCCCTTGATGTTGATAGCAATTTCTATCATTCAGCTGCTGTAAGCAAGCTAGTCAAGGAATCCTGTAGGCTCAAGCCTTGTTTGTAACTAACATACCTTCCGGAGAAGTTCCCGTATCTTTTCAGCATCCTTGGCAGCATAGATGTGCCACAATGCTCCAGGTTTCTCTCTTCCTTCATGGATTCGCTGCTTTGTTACATCATCAGCATCTCCCTCATCAATTGTTTTCAGAACCTCTGAAAGGGGAATTCACATACAAGTGATATGATTACAAAGCTTCTGAGTTTTGACACACAGAAGAGGAAGGAACATTCTGAGCTGCTAAATCCGGCCACACTGCTACTGCAACTGCTGCATCATACAGTGCCCCCTGTAAGCACATCAAGCTTCATCTTAACCAAATTCAGGAAATGTGTTAATTGACAGCTAATCACAAAGCTCAGTCACAAATTCAAACTGAAATAACTACAATTATTCAAGTACAAGAATAAGAAAGAGTAACTTATCACTCCTTCTCCTCCTTTCTTCAGGGAGATACCTAATTTCTAGCAAAACTGCCTCTTCCACAGTTGGGAACCAATGAAACATTACTGCACTTTTAAAGATTTGCTGCAGATGTAGCAAACTGCCTTGTATATTTGGGTTATATGTCATAGATATGACAAGCTTAAACAATAAAAGGTAGTCATCTTTCTCACACACACGATTGATTTTTAATGGACAGAAAACAGCTTTCCTCAAACATTACCATCATCATGGGTCCCTTCCCCAATGGGAATCCCAACGTACACCATGACATTAACAGCATCAGACACATCCAAGTGCAGGTTTGTGGTACCAACTCGTCTGTCTTCTGCAGTAATTAAGCCTATAATAGAGTATAAAATAAAATCAAATTCTATTGAAGCTCTTATAGAAATAAGAGCTGCCTGAAAGTTCTAGAATGCTAACTTTACACAGCAATGAAAGCAGAAACCAATGTCAAAGGGCAGCTGAAGTAGTTATTTTCACATCATGTGTGGTATACATAAAAAGTTTACTGATAACTAGTATTTTTATTTTACAGGAGATAGAACTAGCAAATACAGTTCACTCAAGTCATGCGAAAATAAGCATTTTAAAAACAAAGCCTGAACTTGTACTTTACAATTTTGTCTCTCTGAGGATCATTTATACAGCCTGTAGCAGGCAACTTAGCAGTCATAATACAAAGTTAGTAGGCATTTTTTGGCACTGTTTTCCTCTGCTTGAAGATACAAGAGAAACACCGACTGCTGTAAGTGGCATTAGCATTAGCAAATCACTGGACTGTTACAAGTATAAGCCTCCAGCAGTTCGTTATTTTCTCATACTCAGGTGTAAAATCCATGTGATCAGTTGAATTCACAGCAGTTACTGTCCAACTCATCATCAACAATTCAGATTACAACTGAGTAAGGAAAAAACACCTGCAGACTCTCAAGTGCTTATACCTTTATACATTGGATGCTCTTACCCCTCTGAAGTGGCTATGAGTAATGGAGAAAGAGATTTCAAATGTTTGCTGCTTAATTCTTTCACCTCATATAACACATTCTTCTCTCTTCCTCTGACCCTTCAATAGCACTCACTCTCTCTACTTTTGATTTAACATCTCCTCAATCAAGTAACATGGGTAAAAAAATTAAAAGATTGAAAAATCTTTGTATTGGCAAACATTAATGTAAGTATGACCACAAGACTACTGGTTATGTTTTAGAATCACCATTGTATTTATCTCTTTTGTATTTAAAATATAAGCTTCTGGGGACAGGAACTCAACTCACTGTACAGTACTTTTTTTTGACCAAGATCTATACATCTGAGAAGGATCAAATAGTACAGGGTTACATTCTATGCTAAAAAAATACCGTCAACACTCCTTCAACAAACTCTGCAATAAAGGAAAAGAAAACTTTGACATTTAAGATAAATTCAACAAAATCAATACATTCCATTCATTGCTAGCAACTAGCAATACAGAAAGACAAGTTAGCTGTCACTGATTACCTGGCTTCTCACTGCACTCATGTATAAATATAAACTTGATTATATTGTAAACTCTTTGGTGTACAGCCTTCTTACTCAATTTACATGTCAAATAACACATAAACCAAAACACTGAATACTGTTAAATACTGAACAAACTCAATTTGTCTAAGTTCACAAACCCCTGTTTTTTTAACTCTTATTTGTGATACTGCTAAAAACCCCAAAATAACCCCACAAATGCTTTCTCAGACCTGCAATATGTTGGTTTACAGCTTAAGTCTAATCCGCATTTGGTTACTAACCTAAAACATTTTTTAAAAAAGATGAAACAATAAAGATCTTTCATGTCCTCAGATGAGTTGTTACTGTAGTTATATTGATAATTGGAATGCAAAACCTTAAAAAACCCCGCACCCCTGTCTCAAACATTCAGAGAGAACTACAGAAGTTACATTAGGGTAAGTTTGCTTCCACGTACTCGCTTTGCAAGATGGCTGCAACTTTTCCCTTATCAGTATCACTGCACATTTTTCAGTATATATAAAGAGCGACTACTTTAAATGTTATTTATCTTACTTTACTGTTGCAAAAATACATACTTCCAAATCAATCAGTTATTTAAAAGTATCCTGGAACTTAAACAATCATTTGTTTTAAATTAAAAGTCTCCAAAACCTGCGTTTGGCCATGACCTCAAAGTCAGTACATTCAGGAACTGAAGTAATTCAAGTTGATACAACATGCATTAATTGTTCATATATCCTCCACACTCTGCTACACTGACAATCATTTGAAAGTTTACTGGTATGTGTTCAGACAAGGGTTTCTGCCATTTATATGCTGTTTAGCTACTATATAATTACAGTCTTAAGAGGACAAAACTATCCAATTCAGGTAGCTGACCATGGTTACAGTTTTGTCTTGCATGTGAACTGTGGTCTGTGTTGTTAGACATGGATGAAGAAAACTGCATCTCTGTTTGGAAACATGAACACACAGATCGAATTGCCCAGAAGCTAGCTAATTTTCCCCTCAAATGTATCAACTGGTCTCAAAAAGATATTAACTCTCTTTGAGCCCTGATTGGTATTATGCTTATTATATGTATTAAATAATAATTGTTTTCAAACTTATATGTATATCTTTTGGAAATCACAAGGCAAAAAAGGGCACATTTGACAGAAGACTAGCATAGGAATAGATCACAGGACCAATTGAAAAAATGACAGTGTGCTCTAGGATACACACTGAGTTTTGATTAATGCCATAGCCTTGCATATGCCCTAAGTGTAATAGAGAGTCACAAAAATCAACATCTGCAGAACTATTCTCACATACCATAGGCATTGTACATTTTGGGACCCAAGTCAGGACGGACAAAGTAGCTTGGCAGCCTAGAAGCCAAATTCAGTCTGCCATCCCTCTTGGTATATTCAGGAAGAGGAAGATTTTCCATCAAGTCCTCAAACCTAGAGAGCAAAAGAGAAAAAAGGCATATTTTCTGCCTGTAGTGCCTACAGCAGCCCTGTAAGCATTAATACTAAGGTTTACTTACCTTGTAGGCATCATATCTCTGAAGTCCTCCCCTGGAGGCCAATCCTTTAACTTTAGTACCATTGGCTGACCATCATCTGACCTGAGCCGTTCTGCAAGAAACAAATTAAGATTTCTTCATGCAGTATCTTTTTACCACAGCCCATTATCTTGTTTAAGCTGTAAGTCTTTTGCACCAAGATGTCTTACATCGCACAGCAAAATGGATCCTGATTTTTCTTTGGGCTTCCAAGCATTATTATAGTATGACCAAACAACAGTTTAACAATTAGATATACATATCATTAACTACAGCAGAAATTTGACAGATCTTGCACAGCTTCTAAGTTTTAGGATAGTTTTTACTCAACTTTGAAAACTAGCCTTTCCTAAGCATTCTGCCTTACTACTTTACCAAAGCCTAAGGGAGATTTATCTTTGATTTCAAGAGAAGTGATGCTTCTGTAAAATTAAAGTTATTGGTTCATGCTCAGAAATCATCCCTAACCTCAGTATAAAGCATGAACCCATGGTACCACACTCAAAAAAGCTAAATGGCAGCTGGTTACTGAAGAAGACAGCCTCTAGTTTTTTAAATTCTTTGCTGGAGGCACTCAAATTAGCAGGGTACCGAATTCAAACATTTGTTCTTCACTTCAAGACTTGTACGTGAGTCCTGATTGGTAACAGAGAAAGCTGGTAGCACAGAAAGATGACATTACGAACGCAACAATGGATGTACAGTATGACAGCACTGACCACAGCAACTGCTGTTTTGCCTCAGATGTTACAATGGCTAAGAGAGTATATCTGGAAGTCGTACATGCAGCAGCTTAGAAGACTAAGCATAACATTTAGAGAGGAACAAAGTTCACTCTTCCACCAGATTCTTCACAACTCTACATGAAGCCATCAGTTGGAATACAGGATGTACTGCAGTCTGACACCCTCACATCCCCTTTTGCCCAGAAAATAATTAACATCATTCACCACTTCCTACCTTACCAAGGACTGTCAGCCAAACAAAAAGCAACTGATCTTACCCAGACCTAGCAGAGCTGCTGACAACACCAAAAGAGAAAGCATATGTAGGAAACAAGGACTTGGAGACCTGTGAATCACATTTGCATTATATATCAACAGACTACAGACAGCCTTAGTTTGCAATAAAAAAAAATAAAAATATTGAAATTTAAAGGAATTAAGAACTGCAGATATGTAAACCAAAGTGATCGATTTAAAGAAAACAGATTTTGATGAGCTATGGATTTTAGAGAGGCAAATGAACTGAGAAGCTCAAGGACTTGAATTTAAAGATGTTTTAGAACTTCATGTATTCAAGATTTTGAACTCATTAAGGATCTTTGTTCCAAACAAGGAGAAGAAACTTGCAGTAAGGCTATTCAGAAAGGACACAGTGAAGAACTACCTGGAGGAAAACATACAGATCTGACAAATTACATGAAACTGGACAAAACCCAGAAAATATCTGATCAGCAAAGAAAAGCAGGTCTAAGAAGGATCAAAACAAAAAGTTCGACCTGCCAAAAGTCCACTTGGAACTCAAAGATATTAGAAATAAACAGCACAAGATTTAAATTAACTGAAGTATCACATGGAATATTAAGGGATTTTCTCAATACCATCTCCAAATTCAGTGGCTATTCTACGTCTCTTCAATAACTTAATGTGAGTGTGTGTGTGTGTGGGAGGGGTGAACCAGCCACATATTTGAGAAATCTAGAATTCATATAATGCAGAGAAGTCAAGTGTCACTACGTAATTTGCAAAGAGTTTTCATATGAGTTAGTGTGAAATCTCTGGACTAGTAGCAAATAATACTCTTCTAAACTGGGGATTGCACATGACTGAAAAACACTAAATAAAATGTATTTTAAAAAAACTAGCAAAAGTGATAAAGTTTTCCAACCTAGATCACTAAGATTTCTCATATAAAGTGTGGTAAAGGCATTGTCTAAAAGAAAGGCAGCAGCTGATTTTGCTGCAAGGAGCATATCTGTTTGGACACAAACTACAAATAAATTTCTCAAAGATAATTTGACCCATACAAATTTACTATTGTCATGAATGACCCTAACACAAAAGTGAGGAATTTGTGAAGTTTCTCAATTATTGTTAATACACAGAAATACCACACTGTTATATCCTTCTAGGCAATTTATTTCTGAGTAATAACAGAAATAGTAAGAAATTTGACAGTACAAAATACGAGACTCTGTACTTGGAACCTTATAAAAACAAGTCAAAAGTTGGGAGCTCTTTCACTGGAAAATGACTAGAGAAGAGAATATTCTTGGTCTACAAATTTATCATTTTGTTCGCTGTTGAACAAACATTCCATTAAGTCATCTAATAGTTTACCATTTCTGCTACGTGCACATAGCAATAAATACATAAAATGTTTTATATACACTAAGATCAGGCACATTGCAATGAACTGTTACAGCTCTAATATCTGTAAATATAAGACCACTCTGATCTAAGTATATACAATCTAAAACAGAGCACTCTGCTTTTCAGAAGCTCCTTAATCTGACCAGTTATATCCCCAGGAATTTTAACTGGCTAGCTTCCACATCCACACTTGACAAAAGGTTTTCTCAAAGAACTCAAACATTAAGTAATGTGTTATCACATGAGGTATGCATACAGCATTGCTATTCATAATACATATAAACATGTATTTGTATTGTACTTGCAGATAATCTACTATAAAAAAACTTGCAATGCCAAGTTTACTTATTTGATGTATCCCACCAACTCTGAATTTTAGTATCAAAAGGCTCAGTCTGTTTTAGCTCTACGGATTCCCTTTAGTTTTACAATAAACATTGAGGTTGGAAGGAGAGTAAGGGCAGTCAAATCAGTTACTGTCTTAATAATGGTAACTAACTGATGATTAATTTCATTGAGGAAAGTTAAAACAAAAAGTAGTTTCCCATGAAAGGGATCATCTTTTGACACATGAAAGTAACACACACCAACACACTGTAGTATAGATGAAGTTTTCTTGGGTAGCCCTGCCCTAATCTTCAGCAATATTTTCTAGAATGTGCTACATCTAAGGAGCAATGGCTTCTTTGGGTAAGACTGATAGCTATGTGGATTTTTTTTAACTATTGTTTTTGTTTGGTTTTTATTTTTTGAGAAAATAAGTGGAAAAGGAGGAGTTAAAGGTAGCAAGACAGACTGCTCAATTAAACTAGTCAGCCATAGATATTACTTACTAGATATTATCTCAAAGCCATCCCAGAAGTCACGCACTTTCACGTCTGAAATTATGGCACAGTTCCTGCAGTTCACCAAATCTACATCTTGATCTCCAAATTCCAGGCTGAAAGCTTCTGGTTTCCAAAGCTCTGACTTCAACTTCTTATGGACACCAGATACCAGCACGGGCTGAGAATACAAAGATGAATGCTTACTCCACCATAACCAAATTTCTTACACATGCACCCAAACTTTCTTAAGAGCTGAGACTCCTGGCTACCATAATACAAAAGACATCACAAATCTGTTTTCATCAATGTCTGGTTTTTGTGCATCAAACAAATAACCAGAGTCAAAGCAAACTTCAGTTCCAGGCCATGTGCAGTTGCCTTAGTAAGTCTAATACAATACCACTTCTAAGGCAAGCTTATTAAGTCTACGCAGCAAGGTGTTCGCAGCAGGGGTGGGCTCTGTGGGATGAGGCTGGGAGCTGCCCCGTGCTGGACACAGATGGCTCCACCTGACCATCGCTGGCCAAAGATAAGCCCGTAATTGACACTGGTGGCACCTTTGTGATAATAAGAAAGGGTAGAAAAAACTCTGCAGCTGCTGGGAGGTGGGGGGAGGGAGAGGGGAAGGAAGTCAGAGAAAGAACTCTGCAGACACCAAGGTCAGTGAAGAAGAAGGAGGAGAGTCCCTTGCAGTCTGTGGAAGAGACCACGGGGAAAGCAGGTTGCCCCCCTGCAGCCTGTAGAGGACCATGGTGGAGCAGATATCCACACTGCAGCCTGTGGAGGACCCCACACTGTAGCAGAGGGAGATGCCCTGAAGGAAGCTGCAGCCCATGGAGAGCCCACACTGGAGCAGGCTCCTGGCAGGAGCTGCAGCCCTTGGAGAGAAGCCCATGCAGGAGCAAGTGTTCTGGCAGAAACTGTGGCCCGTTGGGGACCCACACTGGAGCAGTCTATTCCTGAAGGACTGCAGCCCATGGAGAGAGCCCCAAGGTGGAACAATTCATGAATGATGGTATCCTGTGGGAAGGACTCCACACTGAAGCAGGGAAAAAGCGTGAGGAGAAAGGAGCAGCAGAGACGAAGTGTTATGAACTGACTGTAACCCCCACTATTCTCCATCCCCCCCTGCGCCACTTCGTGGGGTGGCGAGGAGGTAGCAGAGCCAGGGATGAAGGAGTAAAGTTGAGCCTTTAGGAAGAAGGAGGAGTGGGTGGGCATAAGATGTTTTTAGCTTTGTCTTTATTTCTCACCATCCTACTTGAATTAATTGGCAATAAATGAAATTACTTTTTCACAAGTTGAATTTGTTTTGCCTGTGACAGCAATTGCCAAGTGATCTGCCTGTCTTTATTGTGACCCACAAATTTTCCCACCTTATTTTCACCCCCTGTCCTATTGAGAAGGGGGAGTGATAGAGTGGCTGGGTAGCGGTCTGGCAGCCAGGCAAGGTCAATCCACCTGTGGAAGTACAGTGGGTGTCATGTCTCACCACCTTTCCTTTTTTTAAGTACAAATGCAACTACCATTAGAAACAGCATTTGTAGTAAAGCCTTCTCATATGAAATTTTCATATTCTCATATGATTTTTTTTAAACAATTTCATTCATTCTTTATGCATAATCATGAAGCATCACTAATTCCCTAGTAAAAAAACATGGAGCGGAAAAGCGGCTATTCACTTGCAAAAGGGGTTTTAAGATGTTTAGGCTAACCATGTACATAGATTCCACACCAAGATTTGAGCAGCCTCTCCCCATAAATGCTCAAGGCATTTACTAAACAAACAATACTAGGAAAAGGTATGCCAGACAATCCTCCCAACACTGGCCAAGACCTTGTCAGTTCCTCTCACCCTGCAATCTCTAGAGAGTTACAAAATTTGAGAGAAAAGGTAAAGAGGGTATGAACGGAACTTGCACATGGACTATCCCACCTGAAAAGCTCTACATTCAGTAACTGTTACCTATGTTCAAATGACAGTTCACATGTCTATGCAAGTTTGAACTGATTCCAAGCTGTGCCCTATACGTTAACAACAATCTGAAGGTGGATCCTGGGTTTATTCACATGAAGAGCTCAGTACAACACCCTGAGGAGCACAGATGCCCTTAGATGTTCTAGTAGTATCAGTATCATTAGGCAAAGATACCTACAGAGCTATAGACGAGCATGTCCAAAGTTACGCTGCTTAAAAACAGTCCAGTAGCTAACCACTACTTCACCTGGATGGCGTCTAACAGGACTAGTATCCATTCTAGTTCCTGAGGACAACTATTCATTCAGAAATGAACGGAGGAGAAAAAAAAAAAACAACCAACAACCAACTTTGGGGATAACAGAAATGGCCTTGGTTTTCAAATATAACACAACATAGCCTTTAAGTTCTAGAAGACAGCAATGAAACTTCAACTCCAGAAGAGTGAGGTTTCAGTAAACAAAAAGGGGTTGTTACTTTACTCCTGTCAACTTCAGAAAAAAACCTCACAGAATCATTTAGATTGGAAGGGACCACCCTCACACTAAAAAAGTGTTTTCTTTTGTTCAGGCTGAACTTCCTGGGGTCTAATTTGTGCCCATTGCCTCTTGTCCTGTCAGTGGGTGCTGCTTTTAGAAGGGTCTGGCTCCTTCCTCATTCCCTCTCATCAGGTATTTATATGCATTGATAAGGTTTCCTACCCACGCCCTCCCAAGCCTTCTCTTCTCTAGGCTGAAGAGTCCCAGCCCTCGCAGCCTCACTTCACATGAAAGATGTTCCAGTCCCTTAATCGTCTTTGTGGCCCTTCACTGGATTTGCTCCAGTAAGCCCACGTCTGTCTTGTACTGGCGAGCCCAGAACTGGACACAGTACTCCAGGTGAGGCCTCTACAAGTGCCAAGTCCAGGGGAAGGATCACTTCCCTTGACGTGCTGACAACGCTCCTCCTAATGCAGCCCAGGATGCCGCTGCCCTTCTTTGCTGCGAGGATGCATTCCTGATTCATGGTCACCTCCTTGTCCTTCCAGGTGACAAGGTGTCCTTCAAGGTCCTTCCAGGCAAAGCTACTTTCCAGCCAGCTGCCTCTGCAGCATGTGCTGTTGCAGGGTGTTATTCCTCCTGAGGTGCAGGACTTTACATCTTCCGTTGCTGAACATCAGGAGATTCCTCTCGGTCCAATTTTCCAGCCTGTCCAGGTCCCTCTGAATAGCAGCACAACCATCTGGTGTATCAGCCATGCCTCCCAGTTTTGTATCATCTGTAAACTCACCAAGGGTGCATGAACTCTGTCCCATCTAGGTCGTTAGTGAAGATGTTAAATAGTTCTCAACACAATACTGATCCCCTACGGTACACCACTAGTGACTGGCCTCCAGCTGGACTTTGTGCTAGTGATCACAACCCTCTGAGCATGGCATTTCAGTCAGTTTTAAATCCACACACTGTCCACTTCTCTAGTTCATACTTCATCACTTTGTCTGATGACATTATGACAGTGTCAAAAGCCTTATTGATAAGATAAAAAACATCCAGTGCCCTCCCCCTCATCCACCAAGCCAGTTGTCTCATCACAGAAGGCTGCAAGGCAGCTTAAGCACGACTCAAACAGCATTCCTGAGCCCCTCTTCAGGACCATATCCCAGGGGATTCTTGCAGGCAGATATCTGAAAAGGTGAATGTCTGCTCTCCTGAAGCCCAGGCTTGTGATCTTGCTTTTTTGCTTTGCTCCGTCCTCTCAGGATCTTGAGCTGAACCTCACCATCTGGTAGTCACTACAGTCAAAGCTGTCCCTTACCTTCACATCAACAACCAGTTCTTCCTTGTGTGTAAGCATGAGGTCCAGCAGAGCACCCTTCCCAAGTTCGCTCCTTGATAAGCTGTGTCAGGACGTTGTCATCGATGCACTCCATAAAACTTCAGGAGTGTTTGTGACCTATTGTGGTGTTCCTCCAGCAGGTATCAGGGTGGTCCCATGAGGCCCAGGAAATGTGAATACAGGGCTTCTGCCAATTATCTGAAGAAGGCTTATCACTTCTTGATCAGGTAGTCTGTAGCAGATACTTGCCACAAGGTTGCCCACATCAGTTCGCTTGCTAATCCTGGCCTACAAGCTCTCAAATAGCTCATCATCCACTCCTATGCAGTTTCACACATTCCAGCTGCTCCCTCACATAAACAGCAATGCTGCCTCTTCACCTTCCTGAACTGTCTTTCCTGAACAGCCTGCACCTATCCCTTGCCATACTACAGTTGCAGGAGCTATCCCACCACTTCTCTGTCATAGCAATGAGATTGTGGCCATGCAACTGCACACTAACTCCTCCTGTTTGTTCCTTGTACTGTATGTATTACTGTACAGGCATTTCAGAAAGGTACCCAGCTATGCTGATTTCCCAGAAGCAGTACGAGAGCTTTCCTCACAATGCTGTGATGTACACAGTTCCTTACTTATGTGCATATGTTTGAGGACATCTTTCATCCCTGTTGTCTCGAGTATGAGATTTCTCCTGTTCACATCACCCCACATGGCTTGCTTGCCAACCCAATCAACTAATTCGTTTCTTGATCACTGGTGATACTCTCCCTCTGCTGTCGTTCTTGGCTTATAGGTCTCTCAGGCTGGTCAGCCTGTTGGCAAAGATGCTTTTGCCTTGCTTAGATGGATCCCATCTCTTCCAAGCAGTCCTCAATCCTCAAAGAGGTTCCCATGATCATAAAACCCAAAACCCTGTTGTCGAAACCAGCTTCGCAAACAATGGCTGACACGCAGAATCCGATAATCTGTCTGCCCCTTACCGGCAGGATTAAGAAAACCACATGGGTTCCATGGCCTTGACCACTACTCAGAGCCATATAGTCACTCTTAACACTGTCTAGGTCTCCCTGGTAGCACTGTTCATGCCAACACAGAAGAGCGGCAGAGGGTAAATGTCTGAGTGAGAGAAAAACTTTGGCAGTCTTTCCACTACGTCCCAAATGTGAGGCCTGACAAGCAGCAAACTAAGATGACATAGCAGACACACCGATCCCAAGTACTAGTTGTCTTCAGTCCAGGAAAACAATGACAAATTTTGATCCCTGCTGTATTCACTTGACCCCTTGAACAATTTAAAAAAAAATAAAATCTACTTAACCTAGTAGAACCCTTCCAGCTCTTAGGCAGAGAATTTCTGATGGAAGAAAGAAAATGCTCGCTCTAGTGAAGAGCACATCTAGGGCTGCAAGATAAAAGGATAGCAGACTTGGTTGGCAGACATTTCCTGCCAGATCTGCTCTCAGACTACACGGAGAAAACAAATTAAAATCTCCAACACCACCCCAAATCTTCAGTATCTCAAAAAAGAGAAAGCCTAGCACGGAAACTCAGAAAAGAACAGGTTGCTATAGGATGAGAATCCTGACAGTATCCCCAGATGAGCAACAGCCACGTTCAGGAGAGTAAAATGCTCTTGAAGAACAGCTCCAGAAAGAAATAATCATAGAATCATAGAATGGTTTGGGTTGGAAGGGACCTCCAAAGATCATCTAGTTTCAACCCCCCTGCCACAGGCAGGGACACCCTCCACTAGACCAGATTGCCCAAAGCCCCATCCAACCTGGCCTTGAACGCTGCCAGGGATGGGGCATCCACAGCCTCTCTGGGCAACCTGTGCCAGTGCCTCACCACCCTCACAGTAAAGAATTTCTTTCTAACATCTGATCTAAATCGATCCTCCTTCAGCCTAAACCCATTACCCCTTGTCCTGTCACTGCACTCCCTGATAAACAGTCCCTCTCCATCTTTCCCATAGGCCCCTTCAGGTACTGGAAGGCCGCAATTAAGTCTCCCCGGAGCCTTCTTTTCTCCAGGCCGAACAATCCCAACTCTCTCAGCCTGTCAAATCCTATGGTTTCCCAGTGAATTCTGGGATAAGACAAGAGTTTAACTTATTTCTGACAATTTTTAAGACAAAGGAGTTGAAAAATATTGCTCTTTCTGCATGACACTGAAAGAGTGGCATTCATTATCAGGGAAAGAATTTTCTCTTTTAATAATCTGGGATGCTACCATGGCTAAAATCTTCATATGGCTCAGATCTAGTATCCAGTGTGCATTTATTGTGCTGGGGAGGGTAGCCAAGAGGTTTTTTCCAACTAACCTTTTCCTGACCACAAAATAGGAAGGGGAAGATGATTTGGGGAATGATGGTGGAATTAACATTCTTTGACTTCACTTTTAAAGGTGCACCTGGGATGTACAGGAGGATATCAGCCAAGGGAGAACTGTGACAGAGCAGAGTTTGTTGAGAGAACCTCTGCTTGAAGAAATTCTGTTTAGAATAGCCTTGTCAAGACAGCGATGCCTGCCTAGGTCACCTGCTCTCCCTCGTACAAGAATGAGAGAGGCTCAGTTAAATTCCTTTCCACATTTCAGCAATCACTACAGAATCCTTGAATAAGCAAGGGACTCGCCCAGTCTGCTGCTATACAAGGGATCCTCTGAATGACAAAGTCATCCAAAAGCACATCTTGGGGCGAAGCCTAAAACAGTGGATCACAAATAGTACATGAGCATGACAGTTGTGGCCAGAGCCTCAAAGCGTGCACCAAGTTGGAAGGCGACGCACGCTGAAAGCTACACATCTGACAGAAGATCGGTAATCACATCTCTAGACTCCACAAGGAGTTTCTCAGGATTCGTTACCAGTCAAGAACCCCATGGCCAAGTGCAGCATCTTGCACCTGGTGATTAATCAGTCTCATCTGCAGAGAAACTGACAAGCACATCTTTTCTAAGTAGCTCCCAAAACATTTAGGATCCTCCTCAGACAGTATTATTTGGTGACAGAGATGGTTGAGAAAATTATCAGAGTATACTGACCAGAAACTAAGGAATTCTTTGTCAAGTCAGGCAGATGACTGACACCACAGCACTGCAAAAGAATGATCTGAAATCCTTCATAAATCAGAAAGATAGAATCATAGAATGGTTTGGGTTGGAAGGGACCTTAAAGACCACCTTGTTCCAACCCACCTGCCACGGGTAGAGACACCCTCCACTAGACTAGGTTGCCCAAAGCCCCATCCAACCTGGCTTTCAACACTTCCAGGGATGGGACATCCACAACTGCTCTGGGCAATGTGTTCCAGTGCCTCACAATACAGAATTTTTTCCTAACATCCAATCTAAATCTACCCTCTTTCAGTTTAAAACTGTTACCCCTCATCCTATCACTACACTTCCTGAAAAGCAGTCCCTCTCCATCTGTCCTGTAGGTCCCTCTCTTTAGGTACTGGAAGGCTGGTATAAGGTCTCCCCTGAGCCTCCTCTTCTCCAGGCTGAACAACCACAACTTCTGAGCCTGTCTTCATAAGAGAGGTGCTCCAGCATTCTAATCATCTTCAAAGATGCAACAGGTTCTGAAAAAATAAGACACCTCTGTACACTCCAAAAATATCAGGACAAGACAACAACTGCTGTTAGGGTGAAAGCTGGTAATACCAGCGGCAAGCTAAGTTTCTAGTCAGACAAGTCAGAGTGCACTGCATAGTAGCCTCTTCCATCTACTAGGAGCTGGCTAGGGGAGTCAGAAACAGGAACTGGTAACTCTGTGGTTGGTGGTGCCACAACGCTCTCCACATTTCTCACGGCTACATGCTAGTTATGCTTGTGCCCAGGGGACCCAGAGAACGTGCAGTCCCATGGAACACGCTAAACTTAACTTGAAAAGCACTCTACTTCTGGCAGGAATGGACCCCGAACACCAAAAGAGGAACACGCAGCCTGATCTGTTCCTCCGCCACAGCTCGGCAGTCTGCATGTCTTGTGAGCAAATGCAAGTATGGAATGAAGAGTGCCAAAAGCATTAGCACAATAATAGCAGAACAGCTGACAACAAGGACTTCTCCAGAAAAGATGATGAGGGACATAACTGTTTAGCACCAGCAGTCTCAATTCTGAGTAGTCAGTGAAGGTAATGGTGTAAGAAGTAGCTGCAGAACCAAGTGCCAAGAACACCATTTGAACACTGATGGACATCGTATTCTGTTAGAGATATGGGTGTGCTTCCTCTGCAGCAGCAGCTACTCATCCATTTTTTAAGATTCAGCTTGTCTGACTAGACCAATCTTTATGACTCTCTGGAGAAGTCTAAGCTGTAGCACTATGGACTGAGATCTGAAAAAGCAGCTATGCTGGCAGCAGGTCTAAAGTCCAGTCTCTTGACTGAAGGCCTAACTGGCTGATGATCCCTCAGATAATCCAGGAGAGTGCTCAATACACGAGATACTGAGTTCAAAACAATACTTGGGTTCACACAGGCTGTAGGCTCAGAATGAGACATTGCATCAAGTACACCCAAAAATTTCAGCAGAAATTTAGCAGAAATTACTGCATGCAGAAGTTATTCTTTACATGCTGCTCTGGAAAGAACGGACCTTCTCCTAAGGCTATAAAGCATCAAGTATAGAGTAGATGCTAGGATGCATGCAGGAATCATAGTGGATTCACCACTAGGCTGTAGTAGAGCAGCTTCAGCACAAACCACACCACAACTAAAAAGGCTGCTGCAGCAAACACCCTCATACTGGTAAGCTGAGAAAAGCTCAGTGTGCAAGGGCACATGGGCTTCAGTCAGTACAGCATGGAGTGGACAGGGCCACTATGTCCCCTATTTATAACGCTACAGTTGAAATCTTCATTCCTCATATTGACTCAGGAGCAATTGGCCAAACTATGGATGGCTCTGTCAATAACCAAGGTACAGGTTAAAGTTTCAGGATACTTATAAGCAGTAAGGGTTGGCTATTTGTCATCACCCACCTGGCCCTGTTTCCAGCACTCCCTGAAGATCTTCCAGTTATTTTTGTTGCTAGGATCATGAAGGCAAAGGAGTCTACCATCACACAGCCAAGAGTGGGAAGTGTGTGGATCCAGCACATTTAAGCCCATTACCATTTCCTTCACCTCTCTCTGTGTGTCAGCTAAATTACTAGCTCGTTTTGCAGCATCAGAAGTCTTCTTATTTTCCACCACAGAAGCAATGATGTGGTCTAAGAAGTTAGGCAGGCTGGCTTTACCTTTGGCCCCCTAGAAGATGTAAATTCAGAGATAAGTTTAGTCTTGCAACAGCATATGTATTAATGCATATCTGCTCTCATTCAGATTTTAGTCATAGACATCTTGCTATCAGAAAAACATGCAACAGTAAACAAATCAACTCAGAGACCTGCACATATCCAGTAAGAACAGAAACAGCTATGCTCCTGTTTTACAACAGTAAAACTTAAAATAACCTGCTACAGGCTATCTAGAAAAATATTAGAGCAAACAATCATGGAATAGAAAACTTAAGTCATCTAACTCTGCTACTTCAACAGTAAAAATGTTTCATATTTTTCTTAACCTCATTGATTTCTTAACTTTATTTCCCTATTTTCCTCATTCCATTACCAAGAAAGTGAATTCAACCCCGGCACAGGTAAGCTGATGAATACAGGAACATTAAGTAAACACTGACAGACAGGAGAAAGTGCTTCCAGTATGTATAACGTTAATAGAACTATTAGTAGACAGCCTCTCTGGTTGTGGTATCCATGCTCCTCAAAGGACATTTAAAACTCCTCAAGGGATGTTTCAAATTCGAAAGAGATTAACACCACAATCTTAAATTGTGTTCTTAACTTAAAAAAAAAAGCCTGCCTATAGCAAAATACTTAAGAGACTAAATATATTTCATATATTCAATAGAAGATAAACACTAACTGGATCATTATTCACAAGACATTTGTGGGAGGGGGCAGGGGTGTGATTGATTTCTGGTAGCAAAGAGCTCGTTCTAGGAAAAAAACAAAAAAAACAAACCAAAAAACCCCCAACCAACCCACCCCTCCACCCCCCCACAAAAACCCAGGGACTGGAAGCTGAATGAACAGTCACAGCAAAACACCTATTACTGGAACAATTTTGCCATCTTCTTTAAAACTAAAGCTCAATAGACAGAAAATTTACCATATGCAGAGCTATCAATCTAAAATGAAACACTAAGCATAACTGAAGATATTAATTCAGTAAAAAATATTCACAGAATGGCAGGGGTTGGAAGGGACCTCTGGAGATCATCTAGTCCACCCCCCTGCCAAAACAGGATCCCCTAGAGCAGGTTGCATAGGATCGCGTCCAGGTGGGTTTTGAGTATCTCCAGAGAAGGAGACACTGCAACCTCTCTGGGCCGCCTGCTCCAGTGCTCTGTCACCCTCAGAATAAAGAAGTTTTTCTTCATATTCAAACAGAACTTCCTGTGTTTAAGTTTGTGTCCGTTGTCCCTTGTCCTGCTGCTGGAAACTGCTGAAAAGAGTCTGGCCCCATCCTCTTGACATCTGCCCTTTAGATATTTCTAAGCATTGATGAGAACCCCTCTCAGTCTTCTCTTCCCCAGGCTAAACAGACCCAGCTCTCTCAGCCTTTCCTCATACAAGAGTTGCTCGAGTTCCCTAATCATCTTTGTAGCCCTCGGCTGGACTCTCTCCAGTAGTTCCCTGTCTGTTGAACCGGGGAGCCCAGAACTGGACACAGGACTCCAGATGTGGCCTCACTAGGGCAGAGTAGAGGGGGAGGATAACCTCCCTCAACTTGCTGGCCATGCTCTTCTTCATGAACCCCAGGATACCATTAGCCTTCTTGGCCACAAGGGCACATTGCTGGCTCATGCTTAACTTGCTGTCCACCAGGACTCCCAGGGTCCTTCTCCACAGAGCTGCTTCCCAGCAAGTCAACCCTTAATCTGTACTGGTGCTTGGGGTTATTCCTCCCTAGGTGCAGGACTGTATGCTTGCCCTTGTAGAATTTCATTAGATTCCGCTCCACCCAACTCTCTAGCCTGTCCAGGTCTTGCTAAACAGCAGCACAGCCTTCTGGTGTATTAGCCACTCCTCCCAGTTTTGTATCGTCAGCAAACTTGCTGAGAGTACACTCTGTCCCCTCGTCCATGTCATTGATGAATATGCTAAGACTGGACCCAGTACTGACCCGTGGGGCACACCGCTAGCTACAAGCCTTCAACTAGACTCTGCACCGCTTGTCACAACCCTCTGAGCTCTACCATTCAGCCAGTTCTCAATCCATCTCACTGTCCACTCATCTAACCCACACTTCCTAAGCTTACCTATAAGGATGCTATGGGAGAGTGTCAAAAGCCTTACTAAAGTCAAGGTAGACAACATCCACTGCTGTCCCCTCATCCACCCAGCCAGTCATGCCATCATAGAAGGCTATCAGATTGGTCAAGCATCATTTCCCCTTGGTGAATCCATGCTGACCACTTCTGATAACTTTCTTTTCCTCCACATGCTGAGAGATGACCTCCAGAATAAGCTGTTCCATCACCTTTCCAGGGATAGAGGTGAGGCTGACTGGCCTGTAGTTTCCTGGGTTGTCCTTCTTGCTCTTTTTGAAGACCGGAGTACATTCATATAATATGAAGTATAATTCATAGAATCATTTTGGTTGGAAAAGACCTTTAAGATCATCAAGTCCAACTGTTAACCTAACACTGCCAAGTCCAACCACTATACCATATCCCTAAGCACCACATCTACGTGCCAAATACCTCCAAGGATGGTGACTCAACCACTTCCCTGGGCAGCCTGTTCCAGTGATTGATAACCCTTTCAGTGAAGAAATTTTTCCTAATATCCAGTCTAAACCTCCCCTGGCACAACTTGAGACCATTTCCTCTTGTTACATGGGAGAAGAGACCAACACTCACCTCACTACAACCTCCTTTCAAGTAGTCGTAGAGAGTGATAAGGTGTCTCCTCAGCTTCCTCTTCTCCAGACTAAACAACCTCAGTTCCCCCAGCAGCTCCTTATAAGACTTGTTCTCTAGACCCTTCACCAGCTCCTTTGGACACACCTCAAGGTCCTTCTTGTAGTGAGTATAAGTCAGAAGGAAGATCTAGAGATCATTTGGTATAACTTTCTGTTGAAATCAGGTTAAATTACCCTAGGCTGAGCCACGCCAAACCTTAACTTCTCAGGGAAGGAGATTACACCACTTCTCTGGGCAGCCTATACCACCGCTAGAATGTAACGTAAGAATTTTGTCTTATACCCAGATAGAATTTCCCCTGAAGCAACTCGTGTCCGTTGCCTCTTGCCCTGTTACCATGCATCCTTGTGAAAGGAGTACCGTCGTATTCTCTACAACTAGCTTTTAGATGTAAGATTGATCAGATCCCCAAAACAATCTCTTCTCTAGGATGAAGAGAACCAGTTTCTTCAACCTTTCTTCATGTGTCAAGCTCTCCCACATTTTAGTCATTCTTCATGGCACTCCGCTGGACCCCTGCCAATTTTTCAGTGTGGTTCTTCAACTGAGGAGACCAAAACTGGAAACAGTGTTACAGGTGTGGCCTAACAAGCACTGAGTGCAATAATCATGTTCCTTGATGTGGTCCAGCTGTATGCTTCCTGATGCAGCCCAGGACAGTTTGCCCTCACAGCTGCACAGTGCAATGCTGACTCATGTTCAGGAGCTGCTGGGCAAAGTCAAACAAAAAAAGGAAGCCTACAGAGGGTGGAAGCAAGGGCAGGTAGCCTAGAAGAAATACAGGGAAACGGTCCAAGCAGCCAGGGATCAGGTTAGGAAAGCCAAAGCCCTGATAGAAATTGGTCTGGCCAGGGATGTCAAGGACAACAAGAAAAGCTTCTATAGGTATGTTAGTGATAAAAGGAGGACGAGGGAAAATGTCGGTCCCCTCTGGAATGAAATGGGTGACCTGGTTAGAAATGGGTGACCTGGTTACCCAGGATATGGAGAAGGCTGAGGTACTCAATGACGACTTTGCCTCAGTCTTCACTGGCAAGGGCTCGAGGCACACTGCCCAGGTCACAGAAGGCAAAGGCAGGAACTGGGAGGATGCAGAACCACCCGCTGTAGGAGAAGATCAGGTTCAAGAATATCTAAGGAACCTGAAGGTGCACAAGTCCATGGGACCAGATGAGTTGCACCCGCGGGTCTGGAGGGACCTGGCGGATGAAGTGGCCAGGCCA